CCTCTTTTTCTTCCATATGACCCCTGGGTAAGAAGATTCTGGCCTACTTCCTTGCCCTGCTCTGCCACCCAGATTTAGGTCTAGCCAGCGATCTTTGAAGGTAAGTCATTGCTTTCTTTCTACTTGAAAGATTTCTCCATTTTGCAAAGTATGCTAAGATCTGACACTAGCAACTGGGGAGTGAATCGTAGAGTCCTGGTCACAATGGTGGCAGGGTCCTAAGTTAAGTTGTTGTCTTGCCCCGGTTTGCCAAAGTCTACCAAACTCCCATCTTTGAATGCTGATGGGGTGGTCACTGCTGTTAGGTCCAGTTAGGTCAAATAACCAGTCCCACATTGATCACGTTTCTCTGAAAATTCATTGCCTACAATTCACTCTCTGATACCAACTTTTTAATCAGTTGAGCTTTTGGGGTACAAAACTAGCTATACTCAGGCCAAAAATCAATTTCTTAGAAGTCTGTCAGGCAGCTCACAGAATTTATAGGAAGGCTGGAGGACCAGGATAAGAAAATAGGATCCCTAACCCAGGTGTTCCACGGATCTCAGATGTGTGGTGTGTGGCTATTGGTTTAGCAAATGTGTTCTTTCCATTCTAATTAAAAAGGAGGATCAGAAACATGACAGATAAGAATATTCATTTACAGTTTTGTCTCAGGGTTCCATTAACTCACCTGTCGTTTGTCGTAATATAGTCCAAAGAGATCTGGATCACCTGGATATCACATAGGACATCGCACGGACAGATTATGTTGGTGACATCATACTGATCAGACGGGAGGAGCAAGAGGCGGCCAGAACACCTGCTAAAGAGGAATAAATTATTACCACCACCAACAGGGATGCATTTCAAAAGCACCATGAGAAGCAAAATAAGCCATACATGCACAAGTACACACTGTATGTTTCCATTTATGTAAAACTTCAGTACACGCAAGACAAACCTGCAGCAATAGAAAGCAGATCGGTGGCGGCCTGATGCTGGAGTGAGGGAGCAGACTCTGCGAAAGGCCCGAGGGAACTTTCTGGAGGGCTGGAAATGGTCAACATCTTAATTGTGGTTGTGCTGTACATTTGTTAAAAGTACGCATCAAAACGTACACTTGAGATGGATGCATTTTATACCTCAATAAATAAATAAAACATATACCTCCATAAACAAATAAATAAAGTTGAGCTAAAAAAGAATGATACATGATTTTCGTAAACCCTCAGTGCATATGTGGCTTGAGTATGAAATAACAGCTGAGGTGTTCCAATCGGTACATCACATCCTCAAGTGTGTGGCACTTAGATAGAAGCATCTTTTATCCTTATTCACATTATTTTTCTAGTTGGTGATGTCAGATCTGACATTAGGTTCTCCTCCCGCTTTCTTCTTTTCTTTGCATTTGCTTATACCTCTGGGCAGGGGTCCAGGGAGGAGACTGTTGTATCCGGACTCCAAGGATGTCCACAGAGGGTTTTTCAGGTTAAGTGGAGAGTTCCAGGTGAATGAAGTGTGTCACTTGTACAAATAGTGGGGATGCCTTTTACCACCAGTATCCCCTGTGCCCAGAGTTGCATGTCCCCGAGTGCTGAGCACCGCTGGTAGCACCACATTGTTCCCTGTACTCCCTCCATTGCTGTTGACTTGCAGCGTCTATGTCTCTGTCATCCCTCCCGTGGCCACCTGCTGGGCCTTGCCTGTCGCTCTGCTATACGCTCAGGTGGGCTATGCTGGGCAGGGCCTGCACGGGAAGCATGGAAGGGCTCTCGCTCATGCTGGTTAGCATTGACTTCTAGGCTTCTTAGAGCCTAGAACTGAATGTCCCATCTTTTTTTCTGAGGGCTTTAGGGACATCCTGGTTGGAGAACCCATGAAGCAAATACATTTGAGAATACACTTTCTTTATAATTTTACACATGTGTAATTACTAAATACATTTGATTTAAATAAAAGTAAACAGATTTCTATATTACAGGATTTCTCACAGACACTCCATGCCAATGTATGTTAGGAATCTTTAAAAGGGTGTGTGGAGGAGGCAGCCCTGGAGTGGCTGTTCTCGAGGGTTCTCGGGGCCCTGGCTCTGTCTGAGACCCGACTTCCACTCTCTCGTTCCCCAATCCCCTGCCTGGCTCCCAGCCACTCTCCTACCTAGAGGTCTGCCTACCTCAGTGTGATTCCAGTTGTATTCAGGTTCCCTTTTATTTCAATTGTCTTAGGTCATAATTTTATACTGACAAATAGTAGGCATTCTGAATTGCCTCACCTCCCTTTGTTTTTTCTTTGTTTGTGGAAGTTTATTTCTGGTAAATTTATCTAGTTATATAACCATCCCCATTGCCCCAACTCAGTCTGGGAACGTGTTCATGCCCCCAGAAGGTACGGAAGGAGAGGACAAGGCATGGGGACACAGAGAAGGATGGGAGAGCAAACAGATGGTGGGATTCCAAGTTCCCGGGCTCCCTGAGGCTGGACCCCCATGCCTCCTCCCCTCTGTACACCCCTCCCCAGGCTGGTCCCTACAGGCAGCTCCTCCAGCCCCCCAAAGCCCTGGGTACCTCACAAGTATCCGGAGCTGCGACCCTGCCTTCAGCTTCCTGCTCGACCAGCTGAAATGCTTTCACTTTTCTTTCCTCTGAAGCCTGGCCCTCCCTGTGTGGCAAAGCACAGACTTCCTGTTTCACACGCAGGCACACGCGTTTTTCTCAGCTTTCCAAGGGCGACCCTGGCCCAGTCCCTGGACCTGGAGAGAGGCAGGAGCAAGAGGCAAGGTCAGCATCCAGGTGGGGTCTGTCTTGGTGACTTTATTCTTCATTTTTGGCAATTGGGCTTTAATAGTTAATATCCTGGCAGCAGCTGCAGGTAGAACTCAACTATTTAAACTATGGGGCTTTCTTTTCATCAAATGGTGTTTTACAAAAAGGTAGAGAAGGTGTGTGGGATTTAATAGGAGGCTATTTAAAAGGGGGATGGGCATAGTGGGGAAGCAGACACACAGCTCAACGCTTTTTCCCTAAATTCCAGTCTGTTGTGGACAGAACAAAGAGTTTCCTCTGCATGCATGCTCTGGGCTCCTGCACTCTATCCCAAACGGGCAGCGGAGTCATCATCCACTGTGCAAGTGACTAGAGATAGTTGGGAAGCTTGTGGAAAATAAGGAGAGTACATTCAATGTCCTCTCTAGTGTCTTATGAACTTTTTATATGTTTTCTTTAAGCATATTCATGATTATTTCCTGGAAATACATTCTGAGAAACTGAATTTGGGACTCAAGGGAATACAGATTTTAGGGCATTTGACACTGACTACTAAATTAGCCTCCAGAATGTTTAGACATGTTTACATTTCCACCGGAAGCATCTGCGATTACTGCTATCATTTCCTATCCTAGTCCAACTTAACAGGTAAACCTGTTTGCACAGTTCTGACTGCTAGTGAGTTACCATGCTTTTTATATATTTATTGCACATTTCACTTAATTGCCTGTTTATATTTTTGCTTTTTTTCCTACATGGATGTTTGTCTTTTGCTTATTCATTTTAAGACTGGCAGCAGGGTAGTGCACACTCGTGAGAAATGGGGCTTTAGTTAGACAAGCTCTGTTTGGCCCCTTAATATCGTGGGCTAGTTACTTCACCTTTCTGTGCCTTACATTCATCCTTGGGAATCAAAACAGATGAAGAAATGAGAAACCTCGTAGATGTTCTGTTCTGAATGCTGTTCTGTAATTAATCATCTTAAATGTGACCCGTTCCTCTTCTTAGCATGTGTCCGTTTGGCTTTCTCTGGCTCTGTGCTGATCTTTGCGATATCCTCCCCCTGCCCGAGTTGTGAATGCTCATTTCTCTGCCATCTGTTGTCTATCTTTCAGGATTTCTTCATGCTTGTAGACCCCTCCATGGCATCTTTTCTTGTTTTCCAGTACTATTGTGGATTAATGTTTCCTTACAATTCATTTTTTCTGTCAAATGTAAAGGATTTGGGAATGAAGAGAGAAAGAGACAAAGGTGTTCGATCTGCAACTGAGATTAAATCCTTGGAAACAGTCTTAAATTGTGATTCAATTTTCTCTTTGACACAGAATGAAGTTGGAAAAATGGGATCCATGTTTTGTTTAAAAAAAAATCTCTGTGTGATTGAGTTTTTTGTTGGTACTCCCCTATTCTTGACAATTTGTCAAGAATGTCATCTGTACAGTTTCTGCCTTTTTTAACTTAGTGGTATTTTCTTATGGCTTATCAGTGGTCAATTTTTATAAATGTTGCATGAGTATAGAAAAGGCATATGCCTGTTCTGAGAGATGAAATTGATGCATAAAATAAATCAGTTAAGTTGTCTGTATTAAATATGTCTTTTCCTTCCTTTATGTCTTTCCTTATGTCTGGCCTATTTGTGTATTGAAGATTGTAGATGGTTTATAAAAGTTTCTAAGTATCATCAGGTTTCCATCTTTCTACACATTTTTGGGTGGCCCCCTTTACAGTGAGTAGTGCCAGTGTCTGCCTAAAACTGCAGTCTGGGCAATCTAGCTTAACTCAGTTCAATACTGCCATAGACCATACTACTTAGGGCAGTAAGCCTGGAGCCAGAAAGTCAGAATACGTTCCCCTCAACCACTTCCAAGTTGTGCAACTTAGGGTATGTTTTTACACCTCTCTGTCCCAGAGTCCTCGACAATATAAATGGGTGCAGTCAAAGTAACCGTTCTGCAAGGGTTTGTGAAGATCAAATAAGTTACTGTGTATGAAAACCTTGTAACAAACCCTGGCACACAGGAAGCACTCCAGAAATACCAGCTATTTTTGATATCTGCCTATGTTTACCAGCAACCCCTTCGGTATTTCAGCATCCACTTGTTGGTGACTTTCAGCCTTCATTGCTGCTGGGTGTTGTCGTTCCTTCCTATATCCATGAGTTTGAGGCAGATGCTAAAGGATGCCTTTGGGGCCAGGATGTCCATTGAATGCAAAGAGCAGCTCCCCAAATTTCTGAGTCTTTGCTTCTCTTTTCTTCTCATGCCTCTTCCGTAGGATGTTCACTGTGACCAGGGCCATAGAGGAGACACTTTTCCAGCACTTCATACACCAGAAGCTGGAGATCGCCTACGCCATATACAAGCCATTTCCCTTCTTCGAAACCCTCCGAGACAACTCCTTCATCACGGAGAGGATGTACAGGGTAGGTCGCGTCAGCTGCTTTCCCACGGCAGCCACCCACACAAAGGGTCAGTCACTGCGGTCTCACCCTGCCCTAGGGGTTCTAGAGTTTGGAAGGCCCAGCCCAAAATGTCGATATCAGGGCAAGAGGCGCTGCTGTAACAAATGGCCTCAACCCAGGTGGCTTAAAACACTGGAAATGTATTCCCTCACAGTTCTGGAAGGCAGAAGTTCAGAATCAAGGTTCTGGCAAGGCTGGCTCCCTCCAGAGGCCCTGAGGGAGATCTGCTCCCCGGCTCTCCTGCCTGCCGGTGGTGCCGGCAGTCCTCGGTATTTGTTCGGCTTGTAGAAACATCTCTTCAGGTGCTGTTTGCATCCCTGCCTCACCTCTTCCTTTCTCTGTCCTCCCTTTATCTCCCCTTGTAAGGACCCTTGTCACTGTGATTGAGGGACCGCCCTAATCCTGCATGATCTCATCTCAAGCTCCTTAACTTAATTACATCTGCAAAGACCCTTTTTCCAAATAAGGTCACACTCACAGGTTTCAGATGGCTTTTATCCGTGGGAGATGGGAAGCCACCTCTCAACCCACTAAGGGTGGATCCTGAATCCGAAGCTTATCACTCACAGTCCATTCTGATGTGAAGCCAGGAAGGCACTGGGAGATATGGCTGTGTGGACAAAAAAATGGCACTCCTTGCATATAATTTTGGGTTTTTCGAGCATTTCCTGAGCCCCAGGGAAGTGCCAGCAGTGTAAATGAGCGCCCAGGCTCGTCCCGGTTGGCCCCAGCTCTTCAGACCACAGCCCCGATGTCACTCCCCATGCAGGTTTCCTTGACCCCCTCGTCTAATTAAGGGCCCCTTGTTATCCTCCCTCATAGAAAACTAGGCTTTCCCTTCTTAACCTTTCTCTCAGTAGTACCTGGAAATCTATTTTTTGTGACTTCTTGTTTAATGCCTGTGAGAAATGCCGCTCACTGGTCCAAATTTAAAGTGGACACAGAGTCAAAGAGGAGAGCGGAGCGAGGCTTTCATGTCCGTTGGGCGAGATTGGGTGTCTGGGGAGCAGGTGCACTTAGGGTTGTCGCAAGTAATTTAAGTCTTAGCATGTGAGTCCCACCCTTGGTTCCTCATTGGCTGAGTACTACAAGGTTTACATTCTCTCCCGGACGTCACCTAAGCAAGTTATATCTATCTCAGGCTTTTTTTACATTTGACTTAATTTTATTGGCTGGTTTAAAACTTCTTCTGCATTTTTTTGAAGTGATGCACAGCCTGTTCTTTCTTAATCTCTCTCCCCCTCCCAGCCAGAGTAACTCCCTGGCACATGTACTGACACGTAGGCTTCTTGCCAGTACCCTTTTTTTTAAATGCTGATTCCTCTGGAAATCAATCACATTTAGTTTTATGGCATTTCTAACAATGCTGATCTCCTCCACCTGGCTGTGCCCCCCAACCAGTGTGAGCTACACCACGTTGATCTTATCCACTGCTATGACCCCAAGGACTAGCCTACCAGGTGCTCAATGAGTGTTTTACAATCAGTTCTCTCTTGCTGTGCTTCTCCTTTTGGCCCTCTCATCCAGAGGCGTTCTCTGGGGGACTTCCCTATGGCAGGAACCCAGTTGGGCCACCTCAAGTCCAAGGGAGAGAAAAAGAGAGAGCAGAAGCTAACAAGCCGTCAACAGAATGGCCACTTGTAACCAACCATTGGGTCCATTGCTGAAGTGTCTTGCTCAGAGCCTTGGAGAATTAATTTCCCAGTAGCAGCCTTCGACTCCACTTTCCTTCCTTATGATTTCTCTCTTCCCTCAAATGTACCTAAAACAAAGTTCACAAAACAGACTTATTTTCAAGAAGGCTCAATTATTTATTCTTAGGACTAACCACCCAAATATATGTGATCTTCCCAAACTAAACATGTGACTTCTCTGCATTAGAGAAGTTGACTATACATTTTGTGTTAAATTCCATCTTGAAACAACGAAATAGCTTTCTTGCAATTTAGAAAATAACGAGTGTGTGAGAAACCACACTGTCGTTTTACAATCATTTATGATAAACTTTCACTTCCTTTAAGGAATCTTTGGAAGCCTGTGGACATATGGTCCCCGTATCCAGAGTGGTGTACAACATTCTCACCAAACTGGAGAATACGTTTAACCTTTCACTTCTGAAGATGATGTTCAGCCGAATTAACCTGCACGAATACCCCGACCTGATGACGATTCTCAAGAGCTTCAGAAACGGTATGAGGCTTCTTGAATAGCTTCCCGGTTATAGAAGCATGAGAGCAGTTGCTATGCTGAAAGTTTGGGTTGGTTTTCAGCCCTGTGGAATATGCCCTTTAATTGTCCTCTTTGGGAAGATATGGACCATACTGCCTCACGGGTGCGGCAGGAAGAGCAGCCCTGGGCCCCGGTTCTTGAAGATGAATTTCTAGAGGACGCAAACTCTTCTGTCTTACCTGTTCTATGAATTTGGGGAAAATGCTACAGTTTAGCACACCGGACAGTCTCTGCAGAATGCATAAGATGACAGAAATGCAAATTACAGCAACTCATTCTGGCAGAAGGACAGGAAGAGCCAGAGAGGAAGGAAGATGGCTAGGAATTGATACTAAGTATTTCTTTTTTGTTTTCTTGAGTGCTTACTGTGTACCAGGTATTATCCCAAGCACTTCGTATGGTTTTCTCATACCATCTTTAAAACAATCTTGTGAAATCGTTATTACCCCTGGGGGAATAATGACTTGACATATAAAGAAATTAAAGCTCAGTATAACTTTCCCAAAGTTGCTTGTCTGTTAGGAGCAGAGCTCGGAGTCCTACTTGGGTCTCCTAAGGCTGGGCCTGAAATGTAACCACTATTCCACACAAGGATAGCTGGAAGGCAGAGCGTAAATGTAGAACTGGAGGAGGGAAGATAGGTAACAGAAGACGAGGGGAGGAGAACTGCAGGCACAGAGACAGAAACAGGGTGCAGAGCACGAAGCACACTGAGAAAGAGAAGGAGCCGGATAAATACACGGGTAGAGAAAAAGAGCAGTGACAGAGCTGGGGAGCAAGAAGCCAGGTGAGAGAAGCAGACAGTAGACTTCAGGTTTGAGGGAACACTGGCGATAGCACATGGTTCACTTCCTTGAGAGCTAACTGCAAGGCAAAAACCAGCGGGTGACGCTGCCCTGTGACGTTTCCTAGCAGAGTCACTGCTGTTGACAGCTCTTCATCTGTTCTCTGACAATCCTGTGGTTTTATTCTAGGCCCTTCTCTGAATTCTGCCTTTACTTTCCTATTGCTGGTCACTGGCTGAGACAACCTTTTTCTGAAATAACAGATGGAGAACAACCATTAAGAGAAACCCGGCCCTCGCTAAGCAGGGAACCAGCACGTGGAAAGCCAAGGGCCTGGGTGTTGGGGGTGGGAAGGAGGTTTGGTGCGGCCAGATCACAGGGTGCAAGGCAAGCAGGCAGAGAAGCTGAGTTTGCACAAAGGAGCAGAACCAGCACATAAAGCTCTTAATACACCATGTGAAGGGATTTGTATTTTATTTGTGACAGGGAGGTATGACATTAATTTATTAAAACAGGGTATATATTAAAAGTATAGGATTGTACAAGATTGTCTAAATTCTGAAACTAAAATTAAAGAAAAACTAAAGAAAATTAAATCCCTGGGTACAAAGCCAAACCCAGCTTTATACGTGAAACAACTTAGGTATTAGATCAGAGGCTAGATGCAGGTATTCACTAAGTGCCCAATCAAATACCTAAAACAGAAAGGGGCCACAGAGGGACAGCACTGTGATGACCATGCATCGGTCCCATGCACCGGGGGAGAGTGAGGGACTCCGTGTCCCTGTCCTTTCAGAAGACAGGTATAAAAAAAAACCCTTCCCCAAATAATTCTGAGTCCCCAGGGTGTTGATGTGTGCTCCTTCACCAATCCCAGTTGTTACTTCCTACGGAAGACAGAACGGAACCACGCTGAGCCTCTGGGAAGCCCCAGCGCACCCAGCAGAAGAGAGCTGCCTCCAGACCCTGGCGCTGCCACCCCCACCCCAGCATCCCGCAGTGAGCCACCCGTCCCGGGCCGATGAGCCCAGAGCACCCATGGGACACAGCGCTGAGATCCTGGCTGAGCCACCCCCTCCTTCTGGCCCTGCCAGAGTCACCCAGGAAGAAATGATGGTTCCAGGTGAGAAACAGACCCTGCCCACCACCAGCCTGGAGGGCCTGTGGCCATGTCCAGAACCCTGGGGTCCCATTTGTTTGTTGATCTGGTCCTTCCCATGCACCTACCTACCATACATTGTCCTTTCCAAGAAGAACTCGGGCACTGTCAGGGGCCTGGGGAAAAAGGCCTAGAGCCGAGAGTACCTACTTCCCACCCCAAAACAGCCCAACCCTTTACCCTTGAGCCTTGATACTCTGTCAGCCCCTGGCGTTTTAACCATTCCCTCTCCTCCCTGACACCTCATCCCTGTGACCTGTATAATTTTTCTTCCTCTCTTTAATGACCAAAGACAACTTAACACCCGAAATGAATGAAGGAGACTCTCAAGAGATGCCTGGCAGTCCCATCACCAGTGTGCAAGGTAATCTTTCTGGGGGCTGACTTAGTTGAGCTCCAGGTGGCTCCGAGAGAAGAATACGCACCTGTTCACCCAGAGGCTTGTGGCAGGAGCCCTGGGAAAAGGGGTGTTTATGACAAGAGCAAGACACGGGCTGGATGCACTGACCTGGCACAGGACCACTTGTCAGGGTAACTCATGCACAAGTAACTCATGCCGCACACACGTCCATGGCCCTCACCCTACTGCTCACCCTCTGATTACGGGGCCTTTTGGTTTCAACTGCATTCATTTTTATATGGTTTGGATTCTAAGAGTCATGCTATTAAAATTATTAGAAAAGATGATAAAATGTTTAAAAGTCTGCCGGAGCTGATTTAGCTTCTTAGATTGTGTCCCTTATACACGTCCCCCCACTCCCCCACCTTCATTAGAAAGGACTTTGATCACCTTAAATCACTAGAATATTACTGGGCACTGTGGATTCAGAGCTCTCCAGTACTGAGAAGAAAGGCCCTACTTGGTCCAAATGTTTCTTTCATTCCTCTGTGTACATGCCATCCAAATAAAGTTAACATGATCATAAAGCCAATAACAATGGAAGGTTCTAAAAAATAATAACAAGTAGCATTATTAAATTAGTAAGTAGCTAATTGAAAGGAAATGATTATGCGCTCTCCCACTCCATCTCATGCTGGCTCTGTGTGATGGCTGCACAGGTACTTAGAACCACAAGCTGACCAAATCAAGGCAGAGCCAGGGAGCCTGCAGGCAGCAGACCCGACCCTGTGCCCCCTGCACTGCGCACCATTCCGAGTCTCCCATTGGCCTCCCTCCACACCTGCTCTCTGAAATGGATTCTATTTCCTTTGCCAGTGGTGAGAGATGATCCTCCTGAACCAAATGACCCAACAGAGCCCCAGGAGGTGCCCAGCGTACCTCCCAACAAGAAAGGTAAGGACTGCCTTTCTCCTGCGTGTGTCAGGAGGGTGAACTTAGAGCTGCTGTTTTTCCGATTGTATCTTGTCACAAGCACCACTGTGTGATTATAGTTTGTTTTCCCTGCATCTTCCTTTAAGACCTTCATGAAAATTACAGGGAAACCAGAAAGCATTTAGGGTCATTGAAATGGGCACCCACTGGCACTGCGGTCCTCTGAAATCATCACGGCTCCCGTATCTGCAGCTTCCTGCCAGGGTTAGTTGCACCTTCCTCTTTAACTGAAAGTCGGTTCCCCAAGGGGACACTACTTCCTCTTAAGATAAGGCTGCATATTCGCCTTTGCTGTCATACCTCACCTCACAGTGGCAGACGGGTTTGATATCCACCCCTTGCTACCCACTGCCCCCAGCCAGCCCCTTGCTCCCCCAACCTCTGTTCTGAGGCTTAACCATTCAAGACACACACCCACTCCCTCTCCACCACTATGGCCCACTGATCTCTCCTCTGCTTCCTGTAGACCTTAAGGGCTGACTGAAGAGTTTTCCTGTCATGTTAAGTCCTGCCATCATCCTGGACACCTCCAAGGTACATGTGGGTAACAACAGGCCCATCCAATACCCTGACCTCTCAAATCCTCATCGGCTCATTTCCAATGACCTTTCCATCCACCACTGCCTGGCTTCCCATTCCGAAGCGCAATTCACAGGCCCCTTCATCATTCAAACCTGGCTCAACTTGCCAATTATTAATTTCAGAATTCCTTTTTTGGAAACCTAATCCTTGAATTTGCTCCTTCTATGGCTATTGTTCAACCTCTAATCTCTCCTCCTTGACCCAGTCTTTAAAAATTGATTCAAAAATATCCCTCCCTAATTTCTTCATTACAGTTTGTTCCCTCTGTAGCTGCCTGTCAGCCTCATTTGGATGAGGGGTCCATGGTTCTCCCCCTTTCCAATCCATCATCTGCCTTTCTTTATGGCCTTTCATATCAGCTTAGAGCCCCCCAAGATCCATTGCTTCAGTAACTTACTGCTGATATTATTCTGTCTTGCCTCTCTGCGTTTTCCTAGACCTCTCTGGCAGGTCTTGAAGGGACCTACAATCTGCACCCTGCACAGCGTCTCAAAGCAGCCAATGCTGGGGAGAGTCACACAGCGGGGAAGGGTGCACCCACTGCGTCTTCACCATTTCTGTGCAAATGGCCCCTCCATATTGCATGATGATTCCACTTCCTCCAAGGATCCTTTCAAACCTTGAGCGTTTTTTGTTCAAACTGTGACCCCTCTCCACCTCCTTTTGGTTCAACAGATGACTTTTCCTTCCACTTCATAGAAGGCATCAGATGGGCATCCCCCCACTTTCTGCCATGGGCCTGCAAACTCTAACTGCACCTGTACCCCTCCTCTCCGATTCCCTCTTCCTCCCCAAGGCTATCTTTCCATCTCACCTTACTGTTCCCAGGACCCTGACTCTCTCTGGAGAATTCAGCAGCTCCCTCGCAAGGATCTGCATTCCGCCGGCGCCTGAGCGTCCCACAGCTCACAAAAGGGACTTTCTCCTGATCCTCATCTCGTTGCAGCTGCCGCCATAGTGCTCCCCTCCATTTCACAACCAAATTTCTAGAAATGAATCACCTAACTCATTTTCTCCACTTGTTCACAACTCCCCCTCCTCTGTCACTTTAGAATTCTTCCTCCCACCACCTCCCACCCCTGCCACCCCATTCTTATTCCACGAAGTAACATCACCTAAGGTCACCAATGGCACTACGGTTTGAAGACCAAAAGTGAAAACTGAAAAGTGTTGACATAGAAGGTTTGCAGATCTATGTTTGCAGATCTGTGCTATAAAAGACAACTGTATCTTTTCTTTTTAAGGAAGAAAAAATTTTTTAAATAACTGTCTTTTCTTTTTAGGAAAGAAAAGAAAAAGAAATATCTGGGCAACTCCAAAAAAAAGATACAAGAAGAAAAGACTCCCAAGAGGTAAGATGAGAGAACAAGACAGGCTGGAGGCTGGAGGCAGCTCATGCTTGTAGCTCAAAGGAAGAGAAGGTGAACTTCATTCCACATGGAAGGAGGAGCCACAGCAGACATCTAATCAGTGAAGTGGCAGAAGCCAATTTTAAATTCGACAAGAAAAATTTTGGTGCCGTGTAAAGAATGAATTGGAAATCAGAAAAAATAGAAGCAGGGCAATCATTTGGTGGTGGTCAGGTGGGGGGAATCGAGCGGGGATGGGAACACATGCCACGAAACCTAATAATGTCTTAGACAAAGAGAAGTCCAGTTCAAGGTCAGGTTGTTGGAAGAGTTGACAGAGCTTGAAAAATTGGAAGCTGGAGATGCCAGAGAAATCAAGGCTTGCTTTTCAATTTCTGCCTTGAATGGCTGGGTGAATGGTGGTGCACATTGTAAGAGAGGATGCAAATATATTTGTGGGAAAACTTGAGAATTGGGGTTTTGACCTGTCTATTACCAGACTTGTGCTAGCCGCCTATGCAGGTCTGCCGGCTGTGTGCTTTGCCGGGAAGGGCCCCAGATGGAACCCCACTTGGGCGGCCATATTCTCGATGTGTGTGATGACCACAGAAACACAAAACACCTGGGTCGGCAAAGAGAATTCCTTAGTGATATTCACAACCAGCTCAACAGCTGGAGAATCACTACAGCGTCTACCTCCCACGTGCAGACCCACAGGCCATCATGAGAAGAGAGCTGACAATCTTTCTAAGCAGCAGGTGATCCCATAAAGAAGGGAGAAAGAATGGTGGATTTTCTATTTATACACAAGACAAGGAAAACCATCCTCCTCCCCTCCTGAAAGGAGAAAAAAAATCGCTGCTTTGAAATAAGATTGAAAAGATACTGGGTCCTCACCCTAATCTTTTGGAATTTAAATGCCTCTTTCAAGAGGTAGAGACACCCCAGGTGCCTCCAGCTTTTACTTACGATGTCTCCATGCTCTGAGCTTCTTCCCTTTTGACATGTGAATGCCTAGGGAGAGAGTGTTCTGGTATTCTTGGTACTTCGGGCCTAACCCAAGAATCTAGCCCCGACTCTAACCACTTGACAACCTCGGGTGATGAGAAGGTTATTATCCTTTCAGATGGGACAGCAATGAATTAGCTACAGATCTCATCCTCACGGCATGTAAAGAGTAAAATGTTTCCAGGGAAACAAACACAAGCATTCCTTATCTTTACACTGTATACATTTCCATTTCTCAGTAGGCTAGGGCTTTTTACAGAAGCACTGAGAAATCAAGGAAGTTTATTTTTCCACAATATAGAAGCATGTTTCTCCACAATATGGCAATTTGGCACATAATAAAAAATAGAAATACAAGAGTCATTGGCAAAACTGAAAGTATCCCAAGCCGTGGGAGAAGAGAACTCTAACCTAAACCACCCCCAACTCCACCCCTGGCATTGCAAATCCTCCTGCTCCCAGCCTCCCCCTCCAGCACAGGTACCTGGCCCCCCATTCTTTGACACCATGCACTTTCCCTCCTAGAGGCACCTAGGGGCCGTTGGATCTCTCCTGGGATACATGGAGGCTCTGGGAAAGCAGGAGAAGTATTGTATAAGATGCCTTTTCTGCCAAAACGACCACCTGGCCATTTTTACTTTATGTGGCCACCTCCTGGCAGCAGGTGTGACTCAGACAGGATCCAGGAAATAAATCCCACTGCTCTGGGATGCCCCCAAATTTATGTTTGATTTTAGCAGGTTGTAGAGGATAAGAGCAGATGGTGACTCTGGCAGGAGAAAGAAAGGTCAAATAGGAAAAAATGTAAATAATCACAGAGACATAGCAAGAGAAAAATGTGCCTCCTCAAAGTATGGGGGCTGGGGGTCTGAAAAGGGAGGTCACCGAGAGGGGCAGGGGGAAGTCCACTGGGGACCCCAGTGAAAACTATTCACGGATCACTGCTTGGCCCGGCAGCAGCCTCTCCTGGCCACGGAATCCGAGAGAAGCTCCAAGGGGTGGGTCAGGCCACTCAGAGGAAGAACGACTCTGCCAGGGACTCAAAGGTCACGACCAGGGCCCAAAAGGCAAAGACTGACTGTGCCCAGACGTCTGGACCAGAGGGTAAGGCTGTGACAGAAGCTGTGGCTCCTGCTCAGGGTGGGAGGGTCTCTCACGGAGCAGGTGCAGGGTTAGGTGGCGTGGCCCGGTGACAGCAGAAGGAGGGAGCCGCACAGAGAAAAGCAATGAGGCGTGACAAGAGGGCCAGGGAGGGAACAATGATCCGTTGCATCTGAGAAGGTTTTGTGAAGAAACAGCTGTGTTTACAAGTCTAGCACACCACCGAAATCCACGCACAGCGAAGGTGAGGGACCACGTGTCTCAGCAGGTGGTCATCAGGAGCCCAAATTCAGAGCTGTTTTACTCTAACCCACTGTTTCTCAATGTTATTATTTTTTTTCATTATTGCTGCCTTAAGGAGCCCTCTCAGGTATCTTTTCCTAATCACATGCCCCCTGATATTTTAATATCACAAATATATTATATATCCATTGATGTACTAGACAGATGGTAAATAGATAGATATAGATATCTTTGGGTGGGGAATAAATATCGATCTATCATCTATCATCTATCAATCAATCATCTATCATCTACTTTATACGTAAAATGAATAAGATTTTTCCCCCAAGAACCTATTTTTTCAGCCCTGGGGGCACATCACCACTGCTTAGTAAGCCTGTCGAAATGTATTCATGGATTCATGGTGGTCTATTAAAAGTGCTCAAATAATGGGTCAAAGTTTTCCTTAGATCTCAATTTCCATGTTTCTCCTTTGACCTTTCTGGGAAATTTGGGAGAAGAACAGCTCATCATTGACACAAATGTAATAGTGTGACTGACAGCACAAGCAATGGACTGTTGTGGGCATGTGCTGGTAAAACGGTGATACTAACTGCCTCCTCAGCATCCCGACTGTCATGCACGGGGCCAACACCGTTCCTGGAAGAGAAACAAATTTGAACATTCTTCGGTTTGTTGACAATATGGTCATTGTGTCACAAATTTACAGAATTCCCTCAAAATGAATGTGACTGTCCAAGGACAAGTATCTATCTAATTATTGTCAGAAAGAATGAGTTAAGTGTACCACCTTAAAATAAGAATGATCATTTTTAACAGTTTCTCCTACATTGCGCTGACTTATACAGTAATATTTACAATTTTCTTGTGGATAATTTCATTTAATTTTTCACAACAACCGTTGGAGAAGGTTTTCAAACTTTACAGATGAAGACGCTGAAACATGTTAGGATCAATAGGTTTTTCTAAGATCCCCTGGATAAAAGATGGTGGCCCCCTAGAATTCTCTTCAGGAACCTTCATTCCCCATTAGAAACAAAGGGACAGAAATAATACTGTCAAGGCTTTGCCGACTCACTGTTGTCTGAAATGAGTGTGGTCACAAAGTATAAAGCTTGCTTATTTAAAAATTACTTTCTTCCTCATTACTTTCTAGATCCCATGGATAATGGAAATAAGCTGTCTTTGGGACAATCTCCTGGGGAAAAGCGTAAGTGTAAAGAACCTATTTGGTCTCTGTTAGGGTGGACTTGATGTTACGCTCTTGATTGTTATGTCTTTCCAGGCCACATAAGACATCTTAGACAGAAAAAGATGTGTGCTTTTTAAACAGTGAGTTAATGCTTTTTTAACATAGAAAATTTTCCATACTATAAAGGCAATATGCTGTAGCTGTTAGGATTAGCTTGCTGTGTGTATGACAGCATACTGTCCCCTTCCCCCAAAATAGTGACTGATATAATAGAGATTATTTCTTCTTCCTGTATGGAGGTAGGTTTTCAAGGACTGGCATCATGCACCATAGAACGCCAAGGGCATTCTCATCTTTGCTGCACCATCCTCAGCATTCCACACCCCCTCCACTGGGGACCAACCAGCAAGTCTGCATTCCTACCAAAGGGAAGAGGCAATGTAAGGAGGGGCACACGTCTTCCATTGAAGGCCACCACCTGAAGGTTGCATTTAGACCTTCTGTTACCATTTTATCACCAGGACTAGTTTCCTGGCTACACCTGTAGTCTTTATTCTAGAAGGACAAGTATCTAGCTCAGAAGCTTGATTACTAAGGAAAAAGGGAGACCAGACACTTGGAAATCTGCATTTCCCAGCCCCCTGCAGGGGGCAGGACTGTGATACCAGGTCTGGCCAATGAGCTAGCGCAAGGGTGCCGCTTCTGAGTCAAAACCCGTAAGAGCCATTGTGCAAGCTCTCCACACTCTCTACGCCTATTTGTAGAAGTGCGTGAAAGAGGGAGCTGCTGAAAGGCCAAGGCAGCTTGGATATCAGCACCACCATACAGAGGACAGCTGCTCGGGTGACCCCAAGTCCTGCAGAGGACTCTGTATGAGCGGGAAATACACTGTTAAGTCACCAAGAAACCCAAGATTTGGGTTTATTTGGACAGCAGCCTACTCTATCCTGGCCTGTCTAATGTCCCTAATAAAATCTGCAAACAGTACAGGAAGTTATTAATCAGGAAGTTAAACCCCTATTTAACCTGCTTCCCCCAACTTATTTATATACCTCAAAAATATGCATACATTTATCTTTGTGTATATATATATATATAGAAGTTCATACTATATAGTTTATTTTTTTAAGTTTTTTCACTGTGTATTTAACATATGTATCTCCTTTTCAATGTTACCTATTCTCCTGTCTAAGGTACATAGCACATTATTATATGATTAACAATTGGTTTAAACTATCATCTATATGACTGAGAGTTGGGCTATATCCAGTTTTTATATAAAAATAGAAATCATGTTTACATGTGTTTGTACCTTTACACATGTGTCTGGTAATTTCTTCAGAATTGATTTCTAAACATGAGCTTACTTGGTTAGAGTCTGTATATTTAAAATTTTATATATGTCACCAAATTGTTCAGCAGAAAATGTGACTGTTTACATTCCCTTTAATGATATATGGGTACTCATTTCTGACAACCTCATCAACACTAGATATGATCAAACTTCTTAAAGGTTTGGGTATCCTTAAAACCAAACAGTCCATCCTTTTGTTATTAGTCATGCTATAAAAACAATTTTTAAATAAACTTGTTATTTATATTTCCTTTTTAAGCATGTTCTTTGCCCATTTTCCTAATGTGCTATTCATCTGTTGTTTTATCTATTAAGGATATTAACCCTCTATATTTTACATATTTTGCAATTTTTCACTTTGTTTTTGGTTCAATATTGTGGAGATGTATGTTGAAGTAAGGAAATTCTAAAAATTCTAAACAGTCAAATCTGCTCAGCTTTTACGTTTTCGATACCTGGCCTTAAGTTTTGACTATGACAATCATTTATATCTTTGGCTTTTAACAGGCTCCCGCTATGTTTCCTTCTAGTCTTGGAAGATGCTGGTTATTAATTTGAAAAAGTGGCATATTTTAAATGCTAATAATTTGGTATATTTCCATTACTTCTTTATTCAGTCCTTTCATATCCAAGTAAAATGGAGATCTTTTTTCACGTTAATAATTCATGTGTAAAGTACTGACATCTCAAGCTTGTAGATCAATGTTTCTACCCATAAGAGATGACTTTTTTTCTATTTTAGAAAAGAGGAGAGAAAAAAACAGCAGGTCAACTTCAAAAGGAAAACAGAAAGAAAGGCTCCCGAGAGGTGAGCAAGAAGAATGAAGTCTCGCTCCTCGGTGCTCCTCGGGGACCCACAGCGGGTGCTCCTCCAGCCGCTGGGCCGCCGCGCCCGCTGGAGCGCAGCCCGCCGCCAGGCTGCCAGTCAAAGGGCTCCTGGCCACAAGCAAGAACCCAGCCCCCACGTTGGCTCCAAACGCTGCTTCTCCCTTAGCATCGGGAAGGGAAAGGGTGGATGTGGGCAAAGGCATCAGACGACTCAGAAATTGGGACGGTGTCCCGTCCAGGGTCCGAGCCTGGGGAAACACACAGAGAAAACCTAAATGGGCCGCAGGATTCAGACTCCCGGTCCCAGCCTAGAGTCAGATTTGGAGTCAGTAGCATTCAGAACCACCGGAATCCACTCATGCCTGCTTATCCTGCTTCGACTCCAGGCACAAAAATTGGTTATTTGTATTACAGGAAGTAATAGGTACGCAGCTGCATTTTTCTGCCTCCTCCGCTTTATCCCTCTTGGTCCTCATCACCCAGTTCTCGTCCCCGGCATCCTGTCCTTCCTGCCTCTCCCCTCTCCTCTCTTCTTCCTTTCTCTTTAACTCCAGGTGTGCCCCCAGGTGGGGATCCCTGGCCCCCTGCCCTTAAGCAGGCATGGGCCCTGGGGTAGGGCTGTGGATATCTCCCCTCAGCCCCCGAGATCCATCAGAAACGAGCGGCACTGCCTGGGCCATTCCCCACTCTCTCTGCTCATTCCCAACACCCCTCGCCCCGGGGGTTTGCCCTGGGAGGGGACTCATCTCCTTGCTTGCTGCCTTCCGCCTGATTCCCAGCCTCACTGCCTCCCTAGATTGGAGGAAATGTGCTTTTTGTCATATGCTGAGTTTTCTCTACCAATGACTCTGAGGGAAGCTTGACATTAAGACCTCCATGCTTTTTTGTTGGCACAAGAAGGTAATTTTTTTCCACTCAGAAATCTCCTTTAGCTCCCAACAAGCTCTGCGTTTCCAGAGTTTCAGTAAGGTCTGGAGAAAAGTGTCGACTGAGTGGTGGCTTCTCAGTTCCAGCCAGCATCTGCTCTTCCTCCAGAGACATATTGGTGTAATAATTAGGGAACCCTGGGGCGATTTATTAATGATGATTTATTAAGATAAAAATATATAATTCTTATAGTCTCAAGAATACACTTCCTGTTAAATAGTCACTCAACAGAAATGAATTGAATGTGAGGTATGTGCTAGGCATGGCCCTGGGTCCTGGGAACTCTGCAGTGAGCCAAACAGACAAACTTCCCGCCCTTGTGGAACCTACACTCTCACCAGCATACGTGTAGTTCGTAGACGACAGGAGGAGGTTGGGGGGAGAGAGGACAGAGGTATGGTGAACTTGAGGGAGAGAGAGAGATGCACAAAGGAAAGGGGAGGAGTAATTACAGAGAAATAAAGGGATAAAAGTGAGGTACAGGACTACAGAGATCTGAACGGTTAGGGTCAGGTCATGAGAAGGGAGGTCACCAAGAGGGGCAGGAGGCAGTCCACTGGGGACACCAGTGAAAACTATTCACGGATCACTGCTTGGCCCGACAGCAGCCTCTCCTGGCCACGGAATCCGAGAGAAGCTCCAAGGGGTGGGTCAGGCCACTCAGAGGAAGGACGACTCAGCCAGGAACTCGAAGGTCACGACCAGGGCCCAAAAGGCAAGGACTGACTGTGCCCAGACGTCTGGACCGGAGGGTAAGGCTGTGACAGAAGCTGTGGCTCCTGCTCAGGGTGGGAGGGTCTCTCGCCGAGCAGGTGCAGGGTTAGGTGGCGTGGCCCGGTGACAGCAGTAGGAGGGAGCCGCGCAGACAAGAGGGCGTGAGGACAAAGCAGGGATCTGTTGGTCTGTGATTGGTCGTGTGTTCCCAGAATGCAGTTCATCTCAGCTGTGCCACGTGGACTTGCATGACCACTTCTCAGGGTCCACTGTTTACATTTCTATTAATAGAGTCACCATTGCTCCACTGAGTCTAGGGGCTCCTCCCTAAGTCAGGTTGACCCAGTGGGGAAAATAGCACCAATCCTCAAAGTGAGCACATTCTCAGGAATATTTCTTAGTATTTCTTATGGCTTATTTCTGGAAGTGAAGCAGCTTCGTGAGTCTGTATATTTAAAATTAATACTCATGATCAAATTTTTGCCAGTTAATTTTTATTTTTTTACTTTTTGTTTTTTATTTCTTTTTTATTGAAGTATAGTTGATATACAATATTGTATTGGTTTCATGTATACAACACAGTGATTCAACAATTGCACATATTATTAAATCCTTACCCCACCTACTGCAGCTACTATCTGTCAGCATAGATGTTACAGAACCACTGACTACATATTCTCCATGGTGCATTTCCATCCCTGTGACCAACTTATGTTATGATTGAGATTTTGTGTCACTCTGTCCCCCTCACCCACTCCACCCACTCACCCCAACACCTCCCTCATGGTAACCACCAGTCACTTCTCAGTATCTATGAGTCTACTGCTGTTTTGTTCATTTTGTTTCATTTTGTTTCTAGATTCCACAGGTAAGTAAAATCATATGGCATTTGTCTTTCTCCACCTTGCTTATTTCACTGAGCATAATACCCTCTAGATCCATCTATGTTGTTGCAAATGGCAGGATTTCTTTTTTATGGCTGAGTAATATTCCATTGTGTATATGTACCACATCTTCTTTATCCATTCATCTATGGTTGGACATTTTCATTGCTTCCATATATTGGCTATTCTAAATAATGCAGCAATAAACAAAGGAGTGAATATATCTTTTTAAATCAAAGATTTTGTTTTCTTCACATAAATTCCTAGAAGTGGAATTATTGGGTCAATGGTATTGCTATTTTTAGAGTTTTGAGGAACCTCCATACTGCTTTCTATAGTGGCTGCACCAATTTACATTCCCACCAACAGTGTAGGAGTGTTCCCTTTTCTCCACATCCTTGTCAACACTTGCTATTTCTTGTCTTTTGGATAACAGCCATTCTGACTGGTGTAAGCTAATATTTCACTGTGGTTTTGATTGCATTTCCCTGATGATTAGCGACATAGAGCATCTTTTCATGTGTCTCTTGGCCATCTGTATTTCTTCTTTGGAAAAATGTTCAGGTCCACTGCCCAGTTTTTAGTTGGGTCATTTGGGGTTTGTTTGTTTGTTTTTGGTGTTAAGGCATGTAAGATCTTTATATATTTTGGATGAAGAGCCAAAGCAGTTAACCCCTTATCAGATAAATCATTGATGAATATATTCTCTCATACTTAAGTTGCTTTTTTGTTTGTTGATACACCCATACTGTACAGAAACTTTTCAGTTTGAAGTAGTCCCACTTGCTCATTTTTGCTTTTGTTTCCCTTGCCTGGGGAGACATGTCAAGAGATTTTTGCCTATGTTTTCTTCTAAGAGTTTTATGGTTTCATGTCTTATATTTAGGTCTTTAATCCATTTCAAGTTTACTTTTGTGTGTGGAGTTAGACAGTAATCCAGTTTCATTCTCTTGCATATAGCCATCCAGTTTTCCTGACACCATTTATTGAAGAGACTGTCTTTTCACCATTGTATATTCATAGCTTCTTTATCATATTTTAGGGACTGTATGTGCATGGGTTTATAACTAGGCTATCCATTCTGTTCCACAGATCTTTGGGTCTGTTTGTTGTGCCAGTTACAATACATTGCGGTATAGCTTGAAGTGAGGGAGTATAATACCCCTAGCTTTGTTCTTCTTTCTCAAGATTGCTTTGGCTGTTCAGGATGATTTGTGGTTCCATATGAATTTTAGAGTTATTTGTTCTAGTTCATTGAAAAATGTCATTGGTATTTTGATAGGGATTGCATTGAATCTATAAATTGTTTTTGGCAGGATGGCCATTAATTCTTCCTATCTATGAGTATGGGATAGATTTCCACTTACTTGTATCTTCTTCAATTTCATGAGTGTCTTACAGTTTTCAGAGTACAGGTCTTTCACCTCCTTGGTTAGGTTTATTCCTAGGTATTTCATTCTTTTTGATGCAATTATAAGTGGAATTATTTTCCTGTTTTCTATCTCTGCTAGTTCCTTATTAGTATATATAAGAATATAACAGATTTCTGTATATTGATTTTTGTATCCTGCAACTTTGCTGAATCCAGTTTTTAGTTCTAATAGTTTTTTGGTGGAGTCTTTCTATATACAGTATCATGTCATCTGCAAATAGTGAGTTTTACTTCTTCCTTACCAATTTGGATGCCTTTCATCTCTTTATCTTGTCTGATTGCTGTGGCCAGAACTTCCAGTACTAAAAAGAGTAAAAGTGGTGAGAGGGGGCATCCTTGTCTTGTTCCTGATGTAGAGGAAAAGCTTTCAGCTTTTTGCCATTTAATATGATGTTAGCTATGGGTTTATCATATATGGCTTTTATTATGTTGACATATGTTCCCTCTATACCCATTTTGTTGAGAGTTTTTATCATGAGTAGATGTTGAATTTTGGTAAATGCTTTTTCAGCATCTGCTGAGATGGTCATATGGTTTTTATCTTTGCTTTAGTTAATGTCATGTATCCCATTGATTGATTTACAAATATTGTTCCATCCTTGCATCCCTGGAATAAATCCCACTTGGTCATAATGGATGATCCTCTTGATGTATTTTTTAATTCAGGCTGCTAATATTTTGTTGAAGATTTTTACATCTATGTTCATCAGGGATATTGGTCTATAATTTTCTTTATTTGTGGTGTCTTTGTTTGCTTTTGGTATTAAAGTGATGCTCATCTCATAAAAAAGTTTGGAAATATCCCCTCCTCTCCTATTTTTTGGAATATTTTAAGAAGAGGTTTTAGCTCTTCTTTAAATGTTTGGCAGAATTCACCTGGGAAGCCATCTGGTTCTTGACTTTTCTTTGTTGGGAGTTTTTTTATTACAAATTCAATTTCTTTACTGGTAATTGATCTGTTCTGATTTTCTGTTTCTTCATGGGTTGCTCTTGGAAGGTTGCACTTTTCTAGGAATTTTTCCATTCCTTCTAGGTTGTCCAGTTTATTGGCATATAATTTTTTATTGAAATCTCTAATAATTCTTTGTATTTCTGTGATGTCAGTTGTAACTTTTCTTTTATGGTTTTGATTTTGTTTATTTGTGTTTTCTCTTTTTGGATAATTCTGGTTAGAGGTCTGTCTGTTTTCTTTACCTTCTCCAAGAACCAGCTCAGTTTCATTGATTTTTTTTCTATTGTTTTATTCTTCATTTTATTAATTTCTGCTTTGATCTTTACTATGCCCCTTCCATTAACTTTGGGTTTCATATGTTCTTGTTTTTCTGGTTTCCTTAGTTGTGCATTTAGACTGTTTATTTGGGGTTGTTCTTGTTTCTTAAGGTAGGCCTGTATTGTTATATACTTCCCTCTCAGAACCACTTTTGCAGAATCTCATATATTTTGAACTGCAGTATTTTTATTTTCATTTGTCGCCATGAATTGATTTCCTTTGATTTGTTCATTGATCCATTGATTATTTACAGACATGTTGTTTAGCCTCCATGTGTTTGGGTTTCTTTGTGTTCTTAACGTAATTGATTTCTTATTTCATACCATTATGATCTGAAAAGATACTTGGTACAATTTCAATCTTTCTGAAATTTTTAGGCTCTTTTTGTGGCCTAGTATGTGATCTTTTCTGGAGAACATTCCATGTACACTTGAGGAAAATGAGTAACCTGGTTTTGGGTGGAATGTTCTGTATATATCTGTTAAGTCCATCTGATCTAATGTGTTGCTTAGTACCTCTGTTTCCTTATTTATTTTCTGTCCGGATGATCTGTCCATTGGTGTAAGTGGTGTGTTAATGTCCCCTAATATGATTGTATTGCTATCTTTAGCTGTGTTAGTATTTGTGTTACATATTTAAGTGCTCCTATGTTGGGTGCGTAGATATTTACAGTTGTTATATTCTCTTGTTGGATTGATTCCTTTCTCCTTATGTAATGTCCTTTGTCTCTTGTTACTTTCTTTGTTTTGAAGTCTATTTTGTCTTATGTAAGTACTGTTACTCCTGCTTTTTTCTCCTTTTTATTTGCATGAAATATCTTTTTCCATCCCTTCACTTTCAGTCTATATATGTCTTTAGGTCTGAAGTGAGTCTCTTGTAGGCAGCATATAGATGGGTCTTGTTTCTTTGCCCATTCTGCCACCCTATGTCTTTTGATTGGTGAATTTAGTCCATTCACATTTGAGGTATTATTGACAGGTATGCACTTGTCATCTTATTAATTGTTTTCTGGCCTCTGCCCATTAGATGCCAGTAACAGCCACTTCCTAGTCATGACAAACAAACAAAAAGATTTCCCAATGTTGCCAGTTGCCCCTGGAGGTAAAGTCACCCAGCACTGAGAACCACTGCTTTAAGCCCTGTACCTCTTCCTTAAAAAGAAGTATATATTTAATATTTATTGAAATATTTATAAGGCTACATCCTTTGTTTAGTTCTAGATTTTGTATTAAATAGATATACACATTGTTGTATCTATTACATGTTACAATAGATATTAATTTGTAAAAATGCAGCTTCTGTAATCATTTTAGCCTTCCTATTAACATGACCTTGCTATTTTTCCTTGGTCACTGCTATATTATTTTCCTTTCTCTCTTTGAAGAAGTGTTACAAAAACAGAAGAAAAATGAACCCAGGCAGAGAAGGAGGAGGGGCTAGAGGAAGAGTGGGGAGAGCGGGACAGTGGCCCCAAGAAGCTCTGGAGTGCAGAGGGACAGGAGCATATCTATCTTGTCTTTCTGAGCTGGGAGAAAGACAGAAAAAAAAATTGACTATCTGTTGTCTATCTACATTTCTAGTTATAAATGACTACTAATTTTTTTTGCATTCTAGAAAATAAAAGGAAAAAAAGATGTCTGTTCAAGCTTGACAAGAAGTTATCAGAAAAGTATTCCCCGAAAGGGTAATCCAGGGGCAGGGCTTGACCCTCAGGCTCCCAGGCCGCCTGGTTAGCTGTTGAATGCCCCATTCTCCCTCCCCTCCTCCTCTTTCCCACCCACTGTCCCCCTCTGGTCTCTTCCACCTCCATTCTTCTCCGCTCTAACACGGTGCCACGTGGGGCGGACTCCGAACGACAGCATCCATAGAGAGCTGTTTGCCCCAGTCTACAGCTTCTGCTCTCAGAGGGGATCCTCAAAACAGAACTATATAAAGACCCAAAAATGATCAGGAGAGAATGATCCAACCCATAAGTAAAGGTCTACCATAAACTTGTACTTCATTCTAGGTACTGGTGAAAACTCTTACCCAAGCAAACCCGAACGTGTTCCCATTTCCAGTGGAATTAGTTTTCTCTTCCTAGTCAGGAGTGAGGGCCTGGTCTCTGAGATCAGCCCCAGCTTGCTCCTGTCCCTCTGCTCCCTGGGGTCTCTTGGGGCCACTGTCCTCCTCTCCCCCCTCTGTCCCTAGCCCCTCCTCCATCTCTGCTTGGGTTCATTTTACTTCTGCTTTGGTTACACTTCTTCAACATAACCTCTTGTCACTCTCCCTTCCCTCTTTGGGCCCGAGACACATTGGCCTCTTTCCCCCATTAACTTGTTATTGAAGCGTAAAAGGTCTACTGTGGGGTCTACAGTCTGGTGCCATCTACAAGCCTGTTTGTTGCAGGTCTACAAAAATAAGGAGCTGGTAAATCAACTGTGATGCTGAGCACACTGCTTTCACAGCGAGACCCCCTCAGTGCAGACAGCAGTGTGTGGACGTCTGCTGTGGCCAAGCTCCTGTCTCGGGGCAGCCAGCACATTGAGGAGCATTGGTGCAACGTGCTTACAGAAAGGGGAATGCCCCATAAGAGTTTAGTGTGGGAAACTAACACAAAGGAAAACCCCACATGAACCCAGCACCCAAGTCAAAAAAAGAACATAACCCACAACCATAATCCAGTCCCTACTCACCGTCCCAAGAGTTACCACCTGCCTGACTCCTTAAAGCACAGGTCACTTGGACACTGAAGGCTTCACCCTCTCCTGCCCAGGGCCTCCTCAGTGTGTCTGCTGCTCATACACTCCCTTCCCAAACCTAATGCCCCACATCCTCCTCTTTGCTTTGCTTCACATCCTCAGGCCTCACCTTGAACTAAACATGGGCTTTCCAGCAGGTGGGGTAGGTCTCCACCTGCATGACATGCCACCAGTGCTTCTTTGTGGCACTTGTCACACCCGTAATTAACCGTCTGCGTACATCCTGCTCACTGCGTGAAAGTCAAATGCGGTCAGTAAGTAGGTTGGTCTTGCTCACTGCCTGTGGCCAGCTTCTGTGTGCCTCAATCAGTTTGGGCTAAATAACTGTCAAATCAGTATGTTATTCATTCTTCATCAAGTATGAATACTAGTATCAGGGCCTCCATTTACTCACACAGGGCACTTGTGTGCATTAGAAAAGTGCCCCCTCCTCCGTACCTTACATGGGTCAGAGCTGACTCCTCAAGGGAGGCCCTTGCTGCCCTCTGCTGGAAGGTTGTTGTAGAACGTGTACAAACTGCCTAGGTCTGGTGTGCATCAGAGCCCACCATAAAGGCGGAATCCTTGCTCAGTGCACGACCCGCACCATCTGCAGAGGCCCTGGTAACTATGGAAGTGTATACATCTCTTTGCGATTGGCAAAGCATTTTGCTTTACATTTTGCCATTTAAATTTCAAATAAGTCTTATTCAGCCCATTTTATAGATTGAATTAGAGCACAAAAGACTTGGGTGAGACAAAATCAACGTAGGTATTCTAATTCCAAGTCCTTAGCTCTTTACACTGAATAAACAAAGTTCCCCCTTGCACTTTTTAGGGAACCCCAAGACTCCAGGCAACTGCTGACAGTCCTCCCTCGGTGTCAGCGTCTCCTGCCTCCTTAGCACTCCACCTTGGCTGTGACTTGGGATTCAACACAGGTGTCTCTGTGCTGTTATTGACCATCTGCTGTAGACTCTTGTTGAGGCATTCCTGGTGGTATGGAGGGAGCACTAGACTGGGGGGCTGGCATGTCTGGATTCTGATGCCAGCTCCAACTCAGACAGCTTGGTGGCCACCTGGAATCCTGTCTCCGTATCTGAGCCTGAGCCCCCAACTGAAAAATGGGCATCATCTTCATTGCTCACTTGCCTACAGGTTGTTGTAAAACAAGCAGCACTAATGCGTGTGCGCTGCTCTTACTGTTCCCTAGACTATTGCTTGGCCTCCAGCCACTCCATCTCCCTGTGGAACAGGCCCTTCCTGTCCAGATCACAGAGCCCCGGGATCTTTCCCAGGCCTCATCTTTCCATGCGTGATTCTCACCTTGTGCATTTTCCTCATGGTTTACAAGAATTCCTGGGGTTGATCTTCCTGATCACTAATTAGGTTTTTCTGCTCCGCTCTTCCTGGTTTCCCTTCAGCTTTTCATTTCCTCCCCCATGCTTTTCATTTCCATGAACTCTCTTTGTTAACTGCTTGCTTTTCCCGGCAGACTCCTAGTGGTTTGCACATACTTACTAACGGTGATGTAACGGATGTAGGAGGGCTCCAGGCAGGCGTCCCCCCAGGGTTCCATCCTCGAAGGCCTCTTCACTGAGATCAGCACATGAGGCTGAGCCAAACGGAGGATTATTGGAAACAGATGAGCAAACCGTCTTCCTCCCTTACGTGCAGGGCGGCGGCTTAGAAAATACTCAGGACACAGGGTACCCCTGACTGGGTGGGCTGCCTGCACCAGGGAAAAGAGGGGTGCTGCTTGTGCCTACAACTCTGCACCCCAGCTCGCTGCCCGGAGCTCCCAAAGCCACCCACTGCTTCTGCATCTGCTTGAAGAACTTTGGGACATCTGTGTTCACTGGACCTGTACTTACAGGGAATTAGGGAAAACAGTTCCCTGAGACAGAGAACTGTACAAGATCCCTGCTGTCGTGTTAACCCCCCTCAGGGTTCACAATAGTATCCAGAGTTACCTCTGTCTTGTCATCAAGTTAGGAACCTGCAGCAGCAAATCCCTCACTCAACTTAGATAACAATAATATGCACTATGTAAGCCTGTTAGGAAATTGCAGAGCCAAGATTATAAGCCCACCCAGTCTGGTTCCCACGGCCACGCTCTCAGCCACTGGGCCATATTTAGTGAGCAGTCTGGGGACAAGTGCTAGAGCCAGACACTCTGTGCAAGAACACTGGCTGGCTGCTGGAATAAAGTTTTTTCCTTTCCCTCATTCCCCCCTGGCCTTGCTACAGCCTCTGCTCCCCTGAGGCTGGGCATCCTTTGGGCTTGTGTTGGGGGCAGCCATCCCCTTCCTTCTCAGTGAATCTCTCCTTTCCCACCTGGCTCTGTCTAGTTCATATCCTTCCAAGGTAACTAATGGTTTCTTCACCATTGATGCTGCTCTGTACCTTTCCCAACAATGCTCTTGCTTTTTCATACTTTTCCCTTTGACTTTTTCAGTAGATGTCTGAAGCAATGGAGAGAGCTGGACTGTTTTCATGAGGTTCCTAACTTCATTCCAGAGGCAACACCCTGTACAATTCAACATGAACTATGGACAGCCCTTTCCCCTGGCCCCCAAGAAATGCTCCTGCAGTCTATCTTTAATGAATGCACCCACAGCGAGTTTGGGAGGGTGGGGGAGCAGGAATCACTGATATTTTTAAAACACTTTTACACCTGCTTCTCCTCAAGCAGAACCCCAAATTTCTACTCAGGAGTTCTGAGTCACCAGGTCTGTCCACATGCAATTTGCAGATTCATCTAGAGTTCTCCAAGGTTTTCTTTTACTCATAGAGGAAAAACCAAGAGAACAGTAAAAGAAGACAGTAAAAATGAAGACCAGGACTCTTCCTGCAGTGCTAACTGCCTCGCTTACCCCCTCCTTGGTTTGAATTAGGCAATAAGATCCTACACGAAGAACTTTCCTCCAGCTACGTGACCACAAAGAAATATTTAGGATAGGCAGCTTCCATGAGCACAGAGAGATAAACAGGAGGTTTATGAAATAAAGGAATATTAGTTGCTGACCCAGCAGCTTGTGAATCAAAACACACTCAGTGAAGAAGTCCTCTATGTTTCACTGAAATATTTTGACACAGTGTTGGTGGTGTTGGTTTTGTTTATAAGAAACGCTCTCCACGCATATCTAACCTGCCACTCAGAATGGAAGACTTCCTGGAAGTTAACCAGAGAATGCTCCCCAATGCCACTTACATCGTTATTAGAATCTGTGCAAAGGAGAATTCACCAGGGAGATAGAATGAAGACCACGTCACATTGAACTGTTCTCTTCTACTTTCAGAACAACCCAAAGATAAAACCGTGGATTTTCACGCTCCTAAGCTTCCTGTGACCTGTGGTGAGGCAAAAGGGATTTTATATACGAAGAAATTGAAAAAAGGTGAGTTCCTTGATCTTCTGCTCTTTGGACCCTCTAGATGAAGAAATCACTAAAAAGGAGGCAAATGCCCTGTGTGTAATTGTTCAGGGAATGGACCCTGCAAGCTAGGCTGCAGAAAAAGAAGGATCTGCAGACTTTCCTGTGTCATGCATGGTACACCTGGGGCCAGGCCACCCCACTCCGTAGGGCAATTACCTGTGGACCACGTGATACAGATCGCCGTGTACTTGCCACATGCAGGTGTCACATAAAATGCCAATTCTCTCCCACTCCATCTTCCACTTAGGCAGGTTGTAGGACTTCCTTCAATGGAGAGGAGAACTCCATACTTCCCTCCACCACCTACACCTCCCAGGGAGTCTCTCTGGACCCAGAATGATGGAACACCACAGCTAGGGGTTTGGAGGTTTCGGATGAATTCACGAGGATGGAAGTCGATCCTGGAAGGAGCTGTCTTTGTCTTATAGGCTCTTCAGAGAAGTGCATTCAGGATGAGAAGGGAGTTTGGTTCACTCCAAAAGAATTTGAAATTGAAGGAAAACGGGCAAGTGCAAAAAAATGGAAGCAGAGTATACACTGCAGAGGGAAGACCCTAAAACAACTGCTGAAGGTATCGTAATGGCAAAGGACAGAGTAGTGACAGATTTAATTCCTTGAAGGATGACTGGTATGTCAATAACTGAAATGTGAAGAAATTCCCATTAGGATTCCACAGTGTGATTGTGAAAGAGGTCAACATTCATAGAAGAAGTTGTGGGTGATAAAGTCTCGAACTCAAATTGGGACTGTTGGTAGAGAACTTGAAATGCACGCAAAGGGTTTTGAGATCAGGATGGATTTAAAGAGCTAGCCCAGTGGCATTGGGTAGGGTGGGCCGAAAGGAAACCAGATACACACGGACCTCTGTGACAGCTTCCCTGAATCCTCCATCAATGAACATCTCAAGACCCAGCTCCCTGTGCACCCTCTGGTGATGTGTTTCCAGAACACTCGTGGTGAGCCTCTCTCTCACACTATCCCCGGCACTGTTGTCCCCTGTGAGCAACACACAAAGGTCCTGTTCTTTGTGATCCCAGAACCAAATGTAAAGCCTGTCAATAACACTCAAAAAAATTATCACTGGGGTGAAATCATAAGGATTTTATCTAGCAAGGAAGAAACAGAAAGGTCAAGGGGTGAGTGGAAAACGAATGGGAAAAAAACGAACAGATCTTGGGCTTGAAGAACAGGGGGAAATCATTTTATCAAGTTCAGAAAAATTGATTGGAGCTGGAAGCTAATTTTTCTTTTAGATACCTTGGGTCTGCGACCCAGTAGGGTGTCCAGGTACAGATATTCACTAAGAAGTGGGAACTTACAAAAGATATTTATGAAAGAGAAGCCTCCAGAATAATATCATTCATCGACCCCCCTTCTCTCTTTCAGGAAGGAATTTTGGTATGTCCTCCAAGACAAAGTCTCAAGAGAAAGGCAAATAGCAGATGAATTTCTACCACATTTTCCGTCAGCATGTTCCAGACTTTCCATGTCCACAGGCTCACCGAGTCCTCAGGTTTCACCCTCTGAGTCACCTTCACATTCAGGCATTATATCTTCAGGACGGCTGCTTTAACACACTGTACATGTCCGTGCCACCATAATTTTCATAGTAAATTTGAGGTGGGGAAGCAAATAACTCTTTAAAATAAAGGTTAGGACAAAATTTGATGTTGTAAATGTGTTTGAGAAAAAAGACCTGGATATTTGGGTGATTACAAAACAAAGATGTCAGAAACAGTGCTCTAGCTTGGAGAGTAAACGTGACATTGAATCAGACAAGAACCGTATGTGAAATGGCAAGAAAATCATCCTTGACTGAACACCAAGTATTCCTCGATTCAGCATGCTTGCTATCCGTAGCACCAGAATGGAGTCACGTGTTTGGACTGAGCTTCCCACCTCCAGGTGACAGTGGCAGTCACCCTTTGGCTGCCCCAGCTGCTCCTCCTCAGCCTAGATTTGCCCTCCAGACATGAGCCCCATTCATGAGCTTCCCATCAGACGTGAACCTCCAGCAGAGGCGATGGTGCCTCTCCCCTTTTGTCCTCTCCCACGTGGCCTGACCCTTGGCTGGGGTCAGTCTAAGTTTACAAGGCACCGGTCCCCCAGTGCCGGTTATTGTATAAACCATCTCTTCTATGCTGATTCAAAATTCCTTGATCTATACCGGGATGTTCCCAGTAATAGTAAAACACTAGGGAAGAATACAAATGTCTGCCAGTATTATAAAATAAATGCATACATCTACAGAATGATTGTTTTTTTAATGCATGGATTCATAGGTATAGACTCATCCTTCAGTCGATGTAAATTGGCTTTACAAAATGGAGCCCAAGGGTTTTGAGGTCGGGGAAGCTTCAGGAAATTTAAACTTGTAGTAATATGTATGGAAAGAGCCCAATTCTGCTTACATGGATATGTAGGTCTGGAAGTGAAAAAAATATCTGAAAGAATCAGTTATCCTGGGATAGGATTACGTTTGCCTTCCATTTCTACATTTACATACAGGTGAAATTTTTATAACCACCATTTACTATTTTATAATCATAAGAAAAGATATTTAAAGTCCAAATCATTAATTAATGGCCCCAATATTAAAGTTCCTTCTTACTCGTAATGCCACATGTCTGTACACGATAGCCAGGGGCACACCTGACATGACCTTTCAGTTCCACCTGTCAGGAGCCCCACAGAGATCATGAGAATAAAGTGCGAATCTGACAACGAATGGACTAACACAGGCCTTTCCTTCTGCTTCATTACCCAGTGCAGCACCTTTGCGTCTCCCTTGCTGTCTAGCTCTGTCTACGTGAGAGACCTGACTGATACTCCAAATGTGCTTTGTGGCTGCCCCGTGGTGTGCTTCTCCCATGACTTAAGACAAAATGGGCAGCTGGCAGGCAGCCACCGGCTCCGGCACTGTGGGAGCCTCCTCCTCCAGAAGAGGCTGGTGTGTAGCCAGAAGATGCTGCTCTGCTGGTGTATCATGTGGAACTGAGGACAGCTTCTGCATTTTGGTTTTTGATTTTGCATTTTGTTTGTTTATTTTTGACAGATTCTAGAGCCTTTCTTTGGAGGGATCCCCATTTAAAGTGGGCCAGTTTGCAAGTAACAGCATAAGTGGGTAGACCAAAAATCTGTAAATGAGGAACATGTTACCTCCAGAACTCAACAGGCCTCAAAGATGTTGGGCAGGTTTGTGGGTATTGAGAAGGTCAATGATTGTTTCTTGACTGTCAGGGATTGAGCAGCCCACCAAATAATGCCCAGAAATTTTCTGAGCTGGGACTGCACTGTATTATGTATACAGCGACAGCCCATCTTTTTTTATGAGCTCCTTTGTGAGTAACTGTATATTCTGAATGAGTACGTCTGTCACATGAGAAGAATGTCATTGGTGGGTGTCAAACTTGTGCTCTTGGGGACAGTTGGATGCAGTTAAGATCTTGCCTGCAGAGGTTGTGTGTGATAGCAAAGCTGTTGAGATAATACCCCGTGGTAGCCAGGTCCAAGGGGCTGTTGCCTGCAGAGGTGAAAGTAAGCTGCAGCTGAGATGCTGTTGAAATGGGCACTGAACAGAACATACTAGCCAAATTCATGACAGCAAAGTACTTACTGGTTGCTAAGTGGATGGCATCAGTAATTACAATAATATTGAATATAGGGACTTTTGTGAGTAATTGTATCCCACTAAAATTAACAAGGTACCCTGTACACTTTCAGGGTAGTTACCAATAAAATAGAGGACAAACAGGTGTACCTCACCTTAACCATCAAACTGTTGCCTTACCTAAGTGGCCCATGGTCGTAGCACCATCGCCCTAAAATACCCCATAGTGGACAAGCATGCTCTGACCCAACAAATAATGAGGAAAAATAATTTTAGGTCTGACACTTAAAATTGGCTTTACAAAATGGAGCCCAAGGACATTCCCCTCTGTTAAAATAGTTAATAGAATCTAATATAAATAAAACATGGCCCTCAAGGGTTAAAATTCATTATATGAGACCTATTTAGAGCGCGAGCGACCATCTCTGTCATTTCTCCATTTAGCCACCCAATTTGGCCTGTTCTTTAACTTGGAGGGACTGAAGGGCACCCCCTGGTGGTAACTGCGACTCCAGTGCAGCCGCCCAGCTGCAGCAGCACAGCTCACAGCATAAGCCAGCAGGGAACACGACCCGTCATAAAACAAGCAGGGAAGACTCCCGGGGGTGGTGGTCACCTAGACCCCCTGCTTGTCTGGTGGTTGCCAGAAGGACAGTGGGATCAGCCCTCCACCAAATACTGGGTTCAGATATTGAAACTGATGATGCTGCACATGCACCGAGAGTATGAAAATATTTGTTATCTGCAAACAGGCTTTCTGGGAGAGCAGAGCAGAGCAGGCGCCCAGGCTGGTCTGAACACGGCTGGAGGGAAGAAAGGGAGTGGCCCGCGGTTTCATGACGGTTAGGAGGGGTGCCAGGGCTCCCTGGCTGGGGCATGGCTTGTCTGGGTGGGGCTTCCCACTGGGCCAAGGGAGGGAGCACACGCGCTTTCTCATCAACTGGCCCAGATTTGGCAAGAGGGAGAGGTAGGCCTTGAAGCCACCAGCAGAAACAGAGTTGGACCCTTGTTACTGTAGAACATGGTGGCAGAGCTGTGTGGCCTTTCTCTGCCGCTTCTCCAGCATGTCACGTGTATTGGAAGCTGTTCCTCTCTAAGGGCAGCAGTTGGGGGTTTCTGCCGGGCTCCAATACCCGACGCTGTGGTTAGACCAGCCCTTTGGTTCTTTTTATAATTGCAAGACGCCCTTCAGCAATAACCATCAGGAAACTTTGAAATAAATAAAAGTTTATTACAGGAGCTGGAAATGTCATAGCGCACCTGGGCCCTGCAGTGAGGTGGTAGGTAGAGAGAGCCTGGCTAACTAGCACACACAGGCCTGGGGGTCCACTTTGAGCTGGGGTCTAGGATTAAGGCCTCTGCTTTCTCAGGCTCTCTCTTTATTGGCGAATTTAAAACCTAACGGTGGGCATTTAAAGCACTGGAAGAGAAAAAACAAGTGGCCCAAGTGGTCAGTTATCAAAATCAGCCAGGATTTCTACAACAAAGGGGCCTCAGTGTGGGAGGCCGCCTGGCTCTATCTAGTTGTGCGGCTGGCGCCGTGTTTGCTCAAGATAGCCGACTTTGAAGTGGATGCCGGAGCAACTGAAGCTTTACTCGGGAGCTTGTATTACAAAAAAGGAAAAAAAAGTCAAGACTTACACGACAGGGGTGCTTGGGGCTCTGGACCCAACCAGGGTCCCAGCTAGGAGGAGTGGGTAGGTCTGGCATCTGCACCCTGGACTGGGGCAGGCCAGGTGACAGGGGACAACGAAGGCCACTGAGTGTCAACCCCAAGGACAAGGAAAGGCAAACTAATGAGCTCAGGGTGTGAAGGCCAGAAAGATCCCCTGACCTCCAGGGTGTGGGGAGCCCTCTGTATGAAGCCCTGGAGGCTGGGGAGTGGAGGGGCCTGCTCAGGAAGCCTCCGGTTAAGACAGAGACAAACACCATCCCCCAGTCAAGAGGAATTTTTACTCTGGCTGAGTGGCTAGTTTTGAGAATGGTTAAAACATTAGCATCCCTCTGTTTTGCCCACCCGGAGATCCTGGTGCTGGTGTTACGGACAGCCAAGGGTGTGGTGGGATTTCTCCCCAGGGCAGGTGGCTGGGCTGCTGCAGATGGGGCTTCCTGGCTCTTACTTCGAGTGCAGAGGAAACGCCCCTTTGGGCGTTGGGAGCCCCAAACTGTCTTGGGGGCTGGGAGTGGAACTGGGTGCCTTTACCTGTGGCCTTTGTCCAGCAGTGAAAACTGTGTTCCTCACATAAATCGCTTGTAGAATTTACTGGTTCACATTTTAAGGCCACGAGAAAGACCCATCTGGGTTTTCGGGTCCACAGAAAGACCCATCTCCACCTCAGGGCTCTGTCCTTGTGAACCTGTCTTTCTGTTTATCAGCCACAGCCAGGATCTTATCTCTGCATCCGCCCACAGGCCTGCCCAGGGCAGACAGATGCCATGAGCCCAGGAAGCCTGCGGGCCAGTCTAGCTCAGCAACCAAGGTGCTTCAACTCTGCAGAGAAAAGCATTTAGTCTCTCCAGGCCTGTAAAAGGAGGGAGCTGCCCAAAGCTGTGTTTCCTCAAATTTCCCATACTTAACCCCCACCCCACCCCACCCCACCCCTTTGGCTCCTGTAAAATGCACATTTCAGTTTAGTAGGTTTCTTACCACCCCCAGTGATGCCGATGCTCCTGATTCTCACACACATTATGCAGACAGGGCTTAAATGACCTTCCAGGCCCTTCCAGCTCTAACAATCTGTGGTTTAAGTGGTGCCTTGACCATTCCAGTGACCTGCTCTTGGGCGGCTGAGCGGCCAGCCTGTCCCCCAGCAGCATTCTCCCGGAGCACCGCGGTCAGCTAGGTGGCAGCATCCCCCTGGGGACACACGAGGACGGGATGGCCCCGTGCCCATGGCAGCCACGTTGCGCGGGTCTCCTGGTCCCAGCAGTGCCCCTATTTCCCCTTCTAGCAGGAAAACTCCAAGGAATGTGAGGTATGCTGCGGGGTGGGGGGGCATTGGGGGGACCACTGCTTCCCTGTGACACTTGCCCAAGAGCCTTTCACGAGGACTGTCACATCCTGCCTGCGGAGACAGAGAGGTTAGTGAGATGCAGTCCGCCTCGTGCACCCCCCCGCCAGGCTCTGCCTCCAGGCCTCCCGTCCAGACGCAGAGCAGGACCCGTGAGCCTCTGGCTGGGGGTGACCTAGAGCAGCCTGACAGGCAGCAGTCAGCGTGGTACCAGCCGTGACCTCCGGCTCTCTGAGTTACGGCTGAGCCATGTGGACCCCACACTGCCACTGTCCCTGGGAGATGTCCTTTCCTAGTTTTGCAACCCAAACTCCTACCCAAAGAGGGGTTGGGGACTGGAAAAGCCAGCTACTTGTGTTCTGCGCTTATTCAGGAAAGGCAGGAAACAACCTGGTTCTTGCATTTCATCCAAGTCCCAGCAGGCTGACGGAGGCCTGGCTCTGGCTGAAGCCCACTGTCCACACTCCACGTGGTGGGTGGGGCACCCTGGGCTCCCAGCAGCTGGGACGGTGGGAGGAGAGCCCACCACTCACATCAACACACCCTCCACCCATGGTCCCTCCTGCTGCACCCTTGGGGGGAGGTCACCAGCCAGGGCCCCATGGGGTGGGGGGTCTTGCAAACTCTGGTAGGTGTCCCCTTCTTCCCCTCCCCGTCTCACTGTGCCCCTCAGTGGTCCCAGAAAGGAGGACAGTGGCTGTTCTGGGGCCCCTGCCCTGTGCTCACTTACACCCAACCTCCCAGGAGCCCGTGGAGCTGCACCTTCTGCAGGATGAGGGAGGCCTCAGGAGGCCCCCAGTGCCACGAGGAAGCTGAGGTCCTGGCGAGGCTGATGAGGCCTGAGGAGCAGCTGGTGAGTTGGGTGGGAGCCCCAGGCCTCTCCTTTCCACTCCCGTGGAGAAGTCAAACAGCAGTCTGGAGCCTGCAGGGTCTCGCTCAGGAAGATGGTGACTCAGTGCCCGAGAAGAGCGCGAGCAGAAGTCCACCCACCCCGCGGCCCTTTGGCAAATGCGGCTGGAGGGCTGGCTGTGTTCGGCTGCTCCTGTTCATGGATGTCTGTCAGGGCGCAGGCCTGGTTTCACTTTCTCCAAGATGCATTTCACTTTAAAGCATTCTCCACCTTTTACACAAATGTGAGTTCCTCCTCTTGAAGGCCTACTGTCATCCACAAAGCTCCTATTTTGCAGAGACTCCACGTAATGTACGTCATATGTTATGATCTCACCCTCTGGGCATCTCTGTTATATAAAACTCACTGTAGAAATGTGGAGTAGAATAAACCTGGAATAGAAGTTTGTAGACTGAGTCCTGTGGGTGCTGTTTGCCGAGAGTGGACCACCTGGTTCAAACGCCACCCCACCGCATACGAGTTCTGGGACACTGGGTGAGTTGCTTCACCTCCCGTGTATCAGTTTCACCTTTTCTTAGGTGGGAATGTCTCTTACCAATAGCATAGGGTTTACAGCACAGACACAGACTTGAACTGTAGATTCAAGTCCCAGCTCTACCATTTTTAAGCTGTGAAGTCTTGGGTAAGTTACTTAACCCCCCTGTCTCTTGGTTTCCTCATCTATAAAAGTGGGGGTAACTACAGTACCTATCACATATTGTAGATCATATGTTAATAAAGTGGTAGTGCTTAGAACAATGCCTGGCATACAGATGTCAGATGCTGTTTTCATTATTAGCCTGGAAATAAAGGCTTGTATTGTGTTTAAGTTGAATCCATTCCAGTGAAGATGGCTGTGCTAACATCGCCCCTTTTGTGGCCTTGCCCCTAGATTCATGATTACGGTGAGCACTTTAAGGAAGCCATGTGGCTGGGCCTGGGCAAGGAAAGATTGACTGAGAAAGTGTACACAGCAGCATGGTTCGTGCGGGACATGCGCCTGATCTTTTTCAACCATAAAAAACATTTTACAAGGTAAAATGCATTTCTTGCTCCCTTTTCATGTCCTTTCCACTTCTCCCTAATTGCTGGGGCAGCAGAACTTTCCTGGAAAGAGCTCAAAAAGACAAGTATTATGGAAGGATACTTGCTCCAAATTCCGTAAGTGAAGAAGAGGATGTCACACAGAATAGGGAAGAATCTTTGCAAACAGTAGTTTAAAAATATCCACCTCAAATCCCAGCAGGGCAGGCTGATCCACCGAGAAAAGATCATTTCATCCTGCCTCATTCAATCTGGGAGGAAAGGCAGTTTGTGCTTACATTGTTCTTTATGCCTCAGAAATAGAGAAATAAATGAAAGAATTAAACATAAGGAAATAAACTTCCGGGATGCTTGTGCTTGGACTTATCTACTCCTAAATTTCCCAGTGGTTTCAAACATCCAGCATTGCCCTCACATGGTGCTGGCTTCATCCTTTGTTAGTAGGGAGAGACAACTAATCGAGTTATCTCACAATCCAGGACATTTGTAAATTTATTCTGAGTCTGACCATCACTTGTACGATATTTCTTGGGACATAGCTAAGGAAGATTTTCATCTCCACCCAGCTTCCCTCCGTTGCTCCACAAGTTGGCATGTTCACAAACCACAAATTGTAAACTGGGGTTCATGCGTGGAGCTGGAGGAAGATAGAGTTGACCAGGGAAACTTCAGTGCCTGGCACAGTCTTAGCCTCAGACAAGGGAAGGGTCATCCTTCTCTCAAAGAGTGGGCTTTCAAGAAATGCTTTATCTGTATCTATTTTGTACCAAGCCCCAACTTTTTTCAGGGATCAAAGTCAACTCTTCAGTCTAGACCAACTGTCGGGTCCAAGTTGACAACCAGGCAGAGGCTCAATATTTTAGTATCGAACAGGAGCATCTCACCCGTTCTGCCTGACTGCTGGGGAAGCACTAAAAACAATGTGAGTGTTTTGATGGTCCTGATTCTTTGTCTTTACACATCGTCTGCTTTTTCTCTTTCAGACTTCTGACTTTGGTCAGGTGGGACTGGATATAGAGGCTGAATTTGAAAAGAGCCTCAAAGAAGTGCTTATTTTTTGTGGATCCACTGAGAACATCTTTCAGGCTCCCTGACCTGTTCTAGGAGGATTAAGGTACCTTCAGGATCCAGATGATGTGACCCTGGTTGTGGCTAGATGGCCAACGAATCTGAGATGTTACTGACTACCCTCCTGACTTAAATCCAGACCCTTCACACGTCATGCTACCCCGTAACTCCTTTCATCTTTTATTGTTTCTTTGTACACATATATATGTTTATATTACACTTCCATGCCTGTAATTCCCACCCAACACCACAGGCCTTTTTCCTGTCTTCCTCCAGTCATATCTGTGTTTCTTTTTTCCCACAGAATAGTTACTCATTTGCTCAACTCTAAACTACAACCATAATAGTTTCAGGATTCCCACACCCATACCACTAAGAAAAGGAAACTAAGCTGAATTTTAAATTTGTGCAGAATTTATTTTGTTTCTATTATACATTTAATATACCCTTTCAGACAGTATTTTTCAGAATTTTGCATCTGTATTTATAAATGAGATTGAGCTATAAGTTTTTATATCCTGTGATAGTCAGATTTAGGGTTATTTTAGCTTAGTAAAATAACATAAAACTTGCTACCTTTTTATATAAACTGGAATAGTCTACCATGTTTTAAATTAACCAAGTCATAAAATTACATTATTGCCTACAGTTCTTTGGTGACATAATAGTGACTGAATTCTTTGTTTCTTCGTGGTGATTAGATTATTCAGATGTTCTTTCGCTTTTTGAATCATCTGCTAAGCCATCAGCCACTGCTTTTGTTGCTTACAGTGGCCTTATTTCTGTCATATTACTTCATTCTTTCTCTTTCGAACACTTCCATGGTATTTTGTCTATGTTTTCTTCATTGTCACCTTCTATTCTGGAGGGAATCATAACAGTTTTTTAATTCTTCTAATTTCCTACCAGTTTTCCAAATATATTTATAACTTATTTTTTGAATGCCAGAGCCAAAAATAAACTATCTTTAATGTGTCAGATATTTAAGTCAAGGTGTTTGTCACTTCTTACACCTCTCAGCTCCCAATTCCTGTCTGTTCACTGTTTTTTGATCTGCATGTTCATTATCAAGTTTTTTATCTTTTACTCTATTAATTTTATTCATTATGTATCATTATTTTGTTATTTCTACATTATGTGAATAATTTCCTATGTCAGATGTCATATAACATTCATTATGTATCATTATTTTGTTATTTCTACATTATGTGAATAATTTCCTATGTCAGATGTCATATAACAAAAAGCCAAAGTTAAAATTTTGTGTTACATGACAATCCCTATTCGTGAGAAGAATATGAATGTATTTTTGTTTCACTGGCTGAGTTGCCCCTTCTGGTCTTTTCTTGCCGTGACTTCTCCTTGCTTCATTTTTCACTTCTTTCCCATGGGAGAGAAAGTCTGCATAGTGGAGTCTTTGCATAGCTCAGAATATCTTCTATTTTCATAAATTAACAACATGTTTTGCTATTTTTTTATTATTATTTAAGATTTTTATTAACGGGTGCTTGCCATTTGTGGACTTTTTTGAAAAAAATCAAGCTGTAAACTTTTATTACAAATTAAAACCGAGGTTCTTAGAAATCTCAACTTGACCAAATAGGAAACAATTTAAAACCTTTTAAAGGTGTATTGAGAAAGATCAGGCTTTTTAAAGAAAAACCACATTTGTCATTACCAAAAGGAGACGTGTTTAGGTAAAAATACTAACACCCCATGCTGCACAGATCGTGCACATAGTTCTGGGTATCTGGTCAGTGGGCAACAAGCAATCACTTAAGGTCTTCAGCTCCAATCTTTTGTTCATTTCTTATTGCTGGAATTTCATACTCACTTTCCCTCGCCGATGACTGAACGGGATGATGGGCGAGATGGTAACGCGGCATTGGTTCAGCCGGTCCTGCTCAGCCTCCGACTAATTCTCAGCTGGTGCATCAGCTGCTTTTGTCTGTCTGCCATGTCGTTTAGGGTTTCCTGGACATCTGCCTCGGTAACTGAAGTTGCTGCGGTACCGACGCTGGGGTGGCTGCCGACCTTGGGTCTCATCCCCTTAATTTTCCTCATCCATATCATTGCCATCCTCTCTAGGCTGCCTTTGGCGAGGACCCCTGCAGAGTCGTGGGCTGTCACCCCGACACATACTCTGTCTCGCTGCTCTACCCAGCTCTCCTGCCCCCTGCGTGTCAGCACCTTCCATCACTTCTCCTGCCCAGGAGGGTTGGGATACTGGGGTCGACGCCCGTGGGCTCTTGTAATATCGTGAGATGGACCCCTTACCTGCAGCTGTGCGCGCTGCTGGCCTGGCCTTGGGGGGCACTGTCCCATCCCTCGTTCTTTCCCTACTCCCACCGTTCTGGTCGTTGTGCTGGAGACTGCGTGTGGTGCCCTGGACATGGACAGCATCTATGATGTTTACTCTGCTGCGTGTTTACCGCCTTGCCCTGCAACTCCTAGGGCCTGTAACGTTTGCTCCCTCCACACCGTTTTCTCCTTCAACATCACTGGACTCCAGTGTCTCCATCTCGACACCGGGAAGGTACTTCCTAGGGTCTCTCTTCCTGACAGCAGTCCGCTCCACAAATGCATCTTCCTCTGTCAGTCCTGTTGATGAAACCACATCTGTTTCCTATATTGAACCTTTTTACTGTTCCCCAAACCTTCCTTGTGATGACCTTCTTGTCCCTGCTGGCAGGTGCCCC